GAGGTCAGGTGGAGGTTGGAAGCATGGAGAAGCCCCGGCAGGCAAGCGGGGTCAGCTTGGGAGGGGCTCATTTACAGCTCCGCCCTGCCCTGAGGGTGGCTGTGCAGTGACTTCCTTCCAAGGGAAATGGGGGAAAGTCACTGTGTGGAGAGAGTTGGATCTGGGCTCTTCCTTCCTCTGCCTCCCAGGCTACTCATGAGAAGGACATCGGACAGAGCCCAGCAGCGATGACCTTCAGAGCTGCTCAGCCCACAGTAAACGTCACCAAAGTAAGTCTCAGAAACTGTCACAGCCCAGATATGAGTAATAAATGCAGAAGTTTTCCTGAGTGGGATGTCAGAACAAAAATAAAAGGACAGGCTGGGAAGGGGGCTCAGCGGCAGAGCGCTTGCCTGCATGCGTGCGGCCCTGGGTTCCATTCCTCAGCACCAGGGCTGGGAAGGTGGCTCAGGGGTAGAGCGCTTGCCTGGCATGCGTGCGGCCCTGGGTTCCATTCCTCAGCACCACAGAAGCAGAAAAAGCCGGAAGTGGCGCTGTGGCTCAAGTGATAGGGCGCTAGCCTTGAGCTGAAGAGCTGAGGGACAGCGCCCAGACCCTTGCCCAGAAAAAGAAAGAAAGAGAGAGAAGGAAGGAAGGAAGGAAGGAAGGAAGAAAATTAGGGGAAGCAGGCACAGTGGGGCACACCTGTAATCGCAGCATTTAGGAGGCTGAGGCAGGAGAATCGTGAGTTTGAGGGCAGCTTGGGTACATAGCCAGACCCTAGCTCAGTGGTGGAGGCTTGCTCCACAGGGTGAGGCCCTGGGTTCCATTTCCAGAGCTGGAAAAAGAAAAAAAAAGTTCATGTGGGGACTTGGAACATGCTAACTGCTGATTTTTTTTCCTGCAGATCTAAAGCTGTTCTAAGAAACGAAGTCTAGGTTAAAACCAAACCTCCATGGTTGCTCTGTGGGGGAGGAGCTTATAAGACAGGGGCTAGAGAGGCGCACCAAGGCCTAGTGAAGACCACAGCCCCCAGCTGAGAGAGGCTTGGGTGTGGGCAGAGCTGAGGGCCCCCTCCCAGCCCACCCCTTCTTGTGCAAGGCCAGGAATTGTGGGGGCTGAGGACGGGGGAGGAGGTCCAGCCTGGATTTCCATCAGAGAACTGGCACCCAGCACCATTTTCTCAGATGCACCAGCGTGGGAGAGAAACAGGTTGGGAAGACATCTCAGGGTCATTGGTTTGCTCCTGCCTGCGGTGTCTGGCTGCTGACAGACCTGAAAGGTTATGGCAGAGGAAGGAGCTGGGTTGATTTACGCAAGGAGGAGCAGCGTGTGAGCACTGAGCCAGGAATGCAACTCTGTAAGGGCCCAGTGCCTGTCTTAAAGAGGTTTCTAGAATGCTAGGGAACATGCTAGGGAAACCCGGACAGGCCAAATAATGAGGATGGACAAGAGCAGCTGGGAGGCCTCCTGGAAGGCACTGGACCCAGTCCACACATAGTTCTGCAGGAAAGACAGCTGTTCCCATGGCTGCTACCAGCTTCCGGCCCTGCCAGGCACCTGCCCAGAAGCCTTACCTTTCTCTAGGCCTTAACCAGAGAAGCCAGATAATTAAGGGTCAGAGGTTAGCCGATCAAGCTTTGTCAACACAGAGCTGGGCAGGGCTCACCTTACTGTGAGTCAGTTCTTCCTGGGCAGCGCTCACGGCACTGGGGTGTGTCTGGTGGCATCGGGGTGTGTCTGGCACTGATCTGAGGCCAGGACAGCTGAAGGGCCCCTGACAACGCAGCAAGTCCCTCGCAGCCAGGCACCAGTGGCTCACACCTATAACCCCAGCTACTCAGGTGGCTGAGATCTGAGGATGGCCATTTGAAAGCCAGTCCAGGAAAGTCTGTAAGACTTTTATCTACAACCAATCAGCAAAAAGCAGAAGTGGAAGAGAGTGGCTCAAGTGGTAGAGCAGCAAAAAGCCGAGACAGTACCCAGACCCCGAATCAAACCGCAGTGCTGGCATAAAGAATAAAAAGGGAAATCCCCTGAAATGCTTCTCAAAGCCACATCAACTCATACGGTTGGTTTGGTTATAAATAACAGCAGGACATCCTGAACCAACTCACTGTGGGAAGCCTCCAGGGTGATGCAAGTGTTGCTGCTCTCCTCCCTCCAGGCTGGCTTCCTCCTAGGGGGTGAGCGGGCACTGCGCCCTGGGGTGAGGGCGGGGCAGAGGCTGCCTCCCCCTCCCCACCAGCGAGTCTACACACTGAGCCAGCAGCCATCCTGTCCCACTCTGATCAACACTCTCCAACGCCCTCAGAATTCCTAGATTCAAAGCCAAACATCTCTGACCCAGGGCTCTTCGCCCAGACACTTCCGGTCCCCTCTCCCTCCTCCCTCCCACCTTCTGTCCTCTGCTCATTGCTGTCCCCCGCCCCATGCCCCAGCTTCTTCCTGCCTCGTGGTTTGTGAACTTGCCCCAGGGCTGGTGGATCAATCTTCCTACACAACATCTTCTTTTTCTTAATGAGGTGAAAATCACGTAAGATGTAACCACCCATTTTAAACTGCAAATTCATGGGTATTTAATGCCCACAATGTGTTGAAATCATAGGTCTTTGTTCTTTCAAAATTTTACCTTTCCATAAAACCTCCCTCCCCTGGGTCCATGCTTCTCTGCTTTCCAGCTGTAAATTTGCCTGTGTGTGTGTGTGTGTGTGTGTGTGTGTGTGCGTGTGTCCTAGAGCTTGAACTCAGGGCCTGAGCTTTTGTGCTCAAGGCTAGTGTTCTATTATTTAAGCCACAGCTCCACTTCCAGCTCTTTTTGTTAGTTAACTAAAGATAAAAGAGTCACAGACTAAGGGGGCTGGGAAGGTGGCTCAGTGGTAGAGCGCTTGCCTTGCATGCATGAGGCCCTGGGTTCCATTCCTCAGCACCACGTAAGCAAAAAGAAAAAAGCTGGAAGTGGAGCTGTGGCTCAAGTGGTAGAGTGCTAGCCTTGAGCTGAAGAGCTGAGGGACAGCGCCCAGGCCCAGAGTTCAAGCCCCACAACCGGACCCCCCCCCCCAAAAAAAAGTCACAGACTTTCTTGCCAGTACTGGCTTCTAACCTTGATCCTCAGATCTCAGCCTCCTGAGTAGCTAGGATTATAGACATGAGCCATCAGTGCTTAGATGAAATTTATCTCTTCTGAATACAGCATATAAAAAAGACACACACAGAGCTGAAAATGTAGCTTGGTGGTGGATTGCTTGTCTAGCATGTGCAAGGCTCCGAGTTCCATCGCTAGCACTGGAAAAATAAAAAAGGACCAGGATCTTTTTCTCACTTGTGTAATTCAAGTTGCATCCTGTCAGTACTTCATCCCATTTTATGGCTGAGTAACTTTCCATGATTTGCATATGCCACAATTGCCCTTATGAATAATGCTGCTGTGAATGTTCACACACGTTTCTGTGAAGACATGTTTTCATTTCTTTCTTCTTTTCTTTTGTGTGTATATGTGGTACTGTGGTTTGAACTCAGAGCTTTGTACTTTGCTAGGCAAGTGCTCTACCACTGAGTCACAAACCTCCAGGGTTTTTAGTTTTTTGGTACTGGTTATTTTGAGATAGGGTCTTGCCTTTGGCCTGGGCCCATGGTCCTCCTGTGTTACATGGCCCACTATAGCTGGGATGACAGGTGCACCTGCCAGAGCCAGCTTTTTCCCCTGGGATGGAGTCCTGACACTTCTTTTGTCCTGGCTGCCTTGGAACTAAAATCCTTCGGATTTCGGTCTCCTGCATGTATGGGACAGTAACAATCTGCCACCTTGCCCAGCTTTTACTTTGGTAGGAGTCTTGAAAAGTATTATTGTTGCTGTTGTTGTTGTTGTTATTATTGCCCTAGATGGCCTTAAATCACAATTTTCCTGACTATAGCCTTCTGTATGGTACCACGCCCAGTTTATTTTCACTTCTTTAGGTAAATATCTGGGAGTGGAGTTGCTAGATCCTATGGTAACTTCATGTTGCACTGGTTTAGGTGCTGAGGATGGGCCCCAGGGCCTCCTGCTAGCGATATGCTCTACTTCTTAGCTACATACTCATACCCCTTTTTTTTTGGTGCCAGCCCTGGGGCTTGAACTCAGGGCCTCGTTGCTATTCTTTTGCTCAAGACTAGTGCTCTACCACTTGAACTCCAGTTCCACTCTGGCTTTTTTGGTAGGTAACTGTAGAAGAGTCTCACAAACTTTCCCGCCCTGGCTGGCTTTACACTGTGATTCTCATATCTCAGCCACCTTAGGAGCTAGGACTACAGGCCTGAGCCACCAGCACCTGGCACCCCTCCCATTTATTTTTAAGAATTACTAGACTTGCTTGTAACATTCTTTCCCCAGACATGTAAGGCTGGTCCCTCTTCATCTCTCAAACATAAGTCTGTAAGTCACCACCCTAGACTACCTGTCACACTCTTGTCTTCCCCCGTTTTGTCTTTACTTGGGATTAGTATCTCTTAGGAAGCAAGGGATCTTGGGCCTCTTATTTCATGCCATGACCCAGCCTCAAACGATGCCTTGCATACACAGTAGGTACTCAGACAAAAAAGAGTGGGGTGGAGAAGAAAGAGTAACCCACAGGGTCACGCAGGGCCTGCCTGGGCTTCTCTCATGATTGAGTGTCTGTGAGCATTTCTCTGCCTCACAAGGCAGATGGGCCCAGCCTGGACCGCACAGGACGGAACAGTGGTTCCCAGGCCCAGCCTTCCTGGGGTCCAGACTTGGAGAAGAATGTTTTCACCACCCAGAGAAAGACACAGACAGACAGATGCAAATGCCTGTGCTGGAGATCCTGGGGATGTGAGGAGTGCAGAGGACATTCCCATAGCCAGGATGGAGGCTGCCGGGCTTCAAAGGCTCGCCGCTACCAGGCAGGGCTAGGAGGAGAGTGGCGGAAAACCTATCCAGGCAATGGGGCAGATAGCCCAAAGAAAGGGGAAAGGGAGAAGGGGAAAGAAGAGAGGAGAGAGGGGAGAGGAGAGGGCAGAACTGAGAGGTAGTACACTTTATTGACGGGTTCTCCTGGGTTCATCTAGCAATCCCAGACAAAGCTGGACCTGGCCTTGGCCAAGGTCCCGTCCATAAACAGAGTGCATCTCACACAAAACCAAGGGGGTGGGGTGGACAGGAGGGAAGGCTGCCAGATGGGGTGGGGAACAAGGCAAGGCCAAGGGGCTAAAGCGCTGGGTGCAGGGCTGGGGCACCCGAGGCCCGGGCAGGCCTGGCCAGCCCCTCACTCCCCCATTGAGGTTCCTAGTGGTTCACAGTGAGACTGGCTTTGATTGGCAGGCGGTTGATGGGTAGACAGACCCTTTCCCACCCACCCTCGGCCTGACTCACGGAGCTGGGGGAGGAGAAAGCAAACCCAGCCTGTGCCCTCTGCTCTAGAAGGGCAAAGGAAAGAGCCCAGTTCTTCATGACATCCCCCAGGGTTGTTAGGAAGGGCAGCTGCTCACTCCTGGCTCAGAAGTGTCTAGAACGTCTTAAGAGAACTTGCCCACCTTCGTCCCAATTAGAAAAACATCGTGTTGAAATCTAGGAGTGAGTGGAGTGCTTTGAACCAAGTGGTAAAAAAGACCTGGCAGGATGTTGATTTAAAAAGGTGGCTCTACCTTTGCCGGGGTCTGGGTGGCCGGGTGGGGGGATCAGCAGAGGGGCTCATGGCAGCATGGGGCTGGAGGCAAGATGCAGGAAGCGTGAAACGTGGGACGTGGAGGCCGCCCTCCAGTGCTGCAGCCCGCACTCGGCGGGCCGGCTGCACGGGCACACGTGCCCGGCAGGGGCAGGCCCCTGTCCCCCTGGGAGAGGCCAGGCTGCCCGTCAGGCCTTGTGACTGTCACTGCTGGGCGGCTCCTTGTGGCCAGCCGTGTAGTCCGAAGGGGGCTCAAGCCCCAGCATCTGCCGCTGTACCAGCTTGGCATAGAGGCCGCCCTGGGCCAGCAGCTGCTGGTGCGTGCCCTGCTGGACCACGCGGCCCTTGTCCAGCACCACGATGAGGTGCGCCCGCTCCACGGTGCTCAGCCGGTGCGCGATGATGAGCACTGTGTGCTTCTGCAGGTTGCCGTGGATGGCCTGCTGGATCTGCGGAAGCAGCAGGGAGCCAACTTGGGGGGAGGGTGCTCCCGCCACCCCGCTATGCCCTACAAGCCCGCCGTCCCCACCGCTCTGAGATCCAACTACTCATTTTTAAAATGAGGACTCAAACAGAACCTGACTCCTGGCTTATTTTGTCTAAGAGAACTCAGAATCCAACCTAAGGGAGGAACCGAACGAGGTGGAGGAGATCTGCCCTTCTATCCAACCCCAAGCCAGGCGGCCCCTTCCCTGGTGACTCCCAGACTCAGTTCTCCCGCTATTCCTGCCGCTTCTCCTTCCCACTGTCCCCCTGGCCCCCACCGGGCTTCTGTCTGGCCCTGTCCATTTCTCCACATGGATAGTTTTCATTCTTCTTCTTCTTTTGTCTGTCAAAAACTCAGGGCTGGGCGCTGTCCCTGAGCTCTTTTGATCAAAGCTAACACTGTACCACTTGAGCCGCAGCACCACTTCCAGTTTTCTGGTGGTTCATTGGGGATAGGAGTCTCACGGACTTTCCTGCCCAGGCTTGGTTTTGAACTGTGATCCTCAGATCTCAACCTCTTGAGTAGCTAGGACTATAGGCGGGAGCCATCAGTACCCAGCTCATTTTGTTGTTTTATTGATCTTTATGATTTTGAAGGGCAGGAAATCAAAAACAGGGCCTTGCGCACTAAGCAAGTGCTTGACCAGGGAGCTACACCTCAGGCCCTGAGATATTCTAATCAGTTCTTGCTAAACACTTGCCCTGAACCCCCCAGGGCACGTGTCCCACTTCAGCTCACGATCTGAACTCCTAGGAGACCTGGGGCAGTGAAGCTGCCAAGTCACACTGTCACTAGGCACATCCTGCAGATCAGAACCCACGAGCTGCAGGCACAGGAGAGCCCCATGCTTGGTCAATAATAACGGACTCACATTGGTTTGCCAACTGTACCAGCAGATTAAAAATGGGAGCAGCTGGCCAGGGTTAAAGGGATATACTGGACTGTACTTTCTGCTTCATTTAAACCTTAAAAGTGCTCTAAAATCAGGCTGGTGGCATGGCTGCTCTACCAAGGTGAGGCCTTCAGTCCAAGTCCCAAGAGCAGCTATACCAACACCTGCTGGAGAAAGCCCTGTGTGGACAGGGTCATCGCCTGCCTGGGCCCCTGGAGGCCCTTTCTGGAAGCAATTACCAAAATGGCCTCACATGGGAGTCCTGCTCTTCTCAGATGCCCACCATTTCTAGCTCAGCGGGGCTAGAACCCACAGTTCCCAGCTTGGATCACTGCCACGAGAGCCAGGGCTCATACAGCCACAGGGACATCGTTTGTACGTGTGGAGGCCCTGCTCCCCCTCCCCACACCCTTGGTCTCACCTGTCACCTCTAGACCAATGGAATGCAGTGCAGCGCTCCCTCGCCCATCACTAGTCACCGAACAAAACCTGGGTCAGGACTTCAGCTGGGCCTGTCTTTGGCAATGGCGCCCCCCAACCCCTCCACGCTGTCTGCTTCACATGACGTCGGCCAGGGCAGTCCCCAGGCTCATGTCCTTGTTTGTTAGCTGTCTTCTCTGGGAACGGAAACGCCATGGGGCCTGTGGGCCATGTGTCTGACCCAGCTACCATGGAAACCCCAGTGCCTGGAGCAGTGCCTTGTGCCTAGGGGCGGGGTCCATCTGCCATTAGCCATCCATGACTCTGGACCCTCTCTGCCAATGAAGAGGAGATGGGGAGAAGTGTCCAGGTCAAGGTCCCAAGGTCCTAGAAGCTGCAAGGTGGGGCGGGGCTAGAGTGCAGGGTCAGTACCTGTGTAAACCCTGGCTATGAGCCCCAGCACTACCAACACTTTTTTCTTTTTTTCTTCAGAAATAAGCTTGATGGCTTGGCACCAGTGGCTCACACCTGTCATCTCAGCTACTCAGGAGACTGAGATCTGAAGTCCGCAATTCAAACCCAGTCTGCTCAGGAACGTCCGTGAGACTTTTTTGTCTTGTTTTTGCAGGTCATGGGGCCTAAACTCTGGGCCTGGTGCTGTCCCTCAGCTCTTCAGCTCAAGGCTAGCGCTCTACCACTTGAACCACAGTGCCACTTCTGGCTTTTTCTGCTTATGTGCTGCTGAGGAATCGAACCCAGGGCCTCATGCATGCAAGGCAAGCGCTCTACCACTGAGCCACCTTTACCAGCCCCCGTGAGACTCTTATTTCCAATTAACTACCAGAAAACAAAAAGTGGTGCTGTGGCTCAAAGTGGCAGAGCACTCACCTGGAGCAAAAGATTCAAGGACAGTGCCTAGGCCCTGAGTTCAAGGACAGTGCCCAGGCCCTGAGTTCAAGCCCTACCACTGAACAAAAAAACAATAAGCTTCAGGATAGAGCTTCTAATCTAAGTCACCTAGTTGTGAGAACCTCTTGTTCCCACTTTTTAGGGCTTTAGCTTTGCCTTGAGCCCAAGATGGCTGGTCCCAGCAAATTCCCCAGTCAGGGGGCTGATGCCTAGGACAGCCCTACGTCCATCTCTAATGCCTTTCCCATGCCTGCCAGGGGACACCTAGACACCTGGCACAGCTCTGCCACACAGCACTCACCAGGTACTCGCTCTCTGCGTCCAGAGCGCTGGTGGCTTCGTCCAGGATGAGGACAGGGGGGTTCCGCACCAGGGCCCGAGCCATGGCCACGCGCTGCTTCTGGCCGCCGGACAGCTGGGCGCCTTTCTCCCCGGTCTCTGTGGGGGGACACAGAGGGCAAGTCAGCAGGGAAGGCGGCCAGGCAGCCCCTGGAAAGGACATAAAACCTCTCCCGGCCACCCTGGACGCTGGGCTTTCTAGCAGTTTCAGAGTCTCCCTGGTGGGAAGCTCATGAAATGATGCTTCCGGCCCTGCATGTAAGCCATGCAGATTCAGGCCTTCCTGTTTATGGGATGCAAATTTCACCTGGGTGGAAAGAAAAGGGGAGACAGCAGCGGCCCGAGGGCAGCGCCCCCTCCCTCCCTCAGAGGGCCTCATCCCTAGGGTGGCCCCAGGCAAGGCGGAGGATGCCGGCTCCTCACCTGTGCTGTAGCCATCCTGGAGCTCCATGATGAAGCCATGGGCATTGGCTTTCTGGGCAGCCTCCACCACCATCTCAAAGGGCACAGCAGGCAGCCCGTAGGAGATGTTGTCAGTGATGGAGCGGGCAAACAGCACGGGCTCCTGGCTTACTAGAGAGATCTGCGGGAGGCAGGAGGAGGACAAGGCTGGCAATGTCTCCAGTCAGCTGTTGCCAGCAGCCTCACCAGCCAGGCCCGGCTGACGCCAGGAGTCTCAGGACTGAAACCCGATCTACACGCTCCACTCAGCTGCCTCTCCTTCCCAGAGGAGTACCACAGTTCCCAGACCCTCAGCCTCTCCATCGACACACTGGGGCCCCGCCCCGAGATTGCCGCTCTGGGCTAAGCCAAGCCCCCCGACCACCAAGGGCAAGATCGCCACCTAGCCCTGTCTCAGTGCGGAGCAAATCGAGAGGGTGTGTTTAGAGCTGCTCTGTGAATGCACCTCCCTGACTGTTGTCCCTGCCTTTCTAAGAACCAACTAGTCCAACGAGCTGTTGCCTTATGATCTGGGGTAGGAGTGATCATATGGGAAATACGACTCAAATCCCAGTACTGGCACTAAAATCAATAAATCAAGCTGGAAACCGGTGGTTTCCTCCTGCATCCTAGCTACTTAGGAGGCTGCGGTTTGGAAAAGCGTTGTTCAAATTAAGCACAAGCAGAAAGGTCTATGAGACGCTAGCTCCAAAATAACGAGAAAAAAGCAGGGCTGGAGGTGTGGTTCAAGTGGTCGAATGTCACCTGAGCAAGGAAGCTGAGTGAGAGCGTGAGGATGGGAGGGGAAGGGTGGGGAGAGCACTTGGGGGAGGCCCGGGCGGCAAGGCCAGGACACTCACCACGCGGTGCAGGTACTTGTGGTCGTAGGCGCCGATGGGCCTGCCGTCCAGCAGCACCTGGCCGCCCTGCAGCGGGTAGAAGTTCTCCAGGATGTTGACGCAGGAGCTCTTCCCGCTGCCCGAGGGCCCCACCAGGGCGGTCACCTTGCCCGGGGACAGGCTGAAGGAGACATTCTGCATGGGACAGAGGCACCTGTGGAGTCCAGGCTCAGTCTTGAGGCTCCTGCCTCAGACACTCGGGGGTGCCCCTCCCAGCCCACCCCACGCAGGACCCACCCCATGCGTCCTGCCTTGGCTGGGTATGGCTGGCCCCGGAGAGCCCCCTTCTAGGATTTGGAGGTGCCTTTAAATCACTGTTTCCTCTGGCCGCAATGTTCTTTGGGCAGTGAGCTACCTGCCCGGCCCCTGCTCCCCGGGCAGGTCTAAGCTCAAAGGTCACCTTGTCACCTCCTCCAAGAAGCCCTGAGGGACTCTTATCCTCAGCTCCCCCACTACCCCCAAACAGCTCCCATCTATCATCATCAACCCCCCCTCCCCCTCCTCCTTCTTCTTCCTCCTCCTCTTTTTGTTTTTTTTTTTGCCAGCCCTGGGACTTGAACTCAGGGCCTGGGCACCGTCCCTGAGCTTCTTTTGCTTAAGGCTAGCACTCTACCACTTGAGCCACAGCACCACTTCCAGCTTTTGCTGTATATGTGGTGCTGAGGAATTGAATCCAGGGCTCCATGCATGCTAGGCAAGCGCTCTCCGCTAGGCCACCTCCCAGCCCCTCCCTGTCTTCCTGTGGGAGTTCCCCTGGAGTCTCACTCTAGGCCCCCTGTGTTCCCAGCTGAGGTGCTCTCACCTGCAGGACCTGCGTGTGGGGCCGAGTGCGGTAGGTGAAGGTCACGTTCTCAAAGTCCACCCGGCCCTCCAGGTGGTCAGGGGCCAGGATCCCATCGTGTACCATGGTCGGCTGCCGGTCGATGAACTCAAACACCTTCTCAGCAGCGCCCACGCCCTGCATCAGGCCGCTGTACACGGAGCCCACCGACTGCAGGGAGGAGACACACGTTCCTGTCCCACCAGCACCCTGTGCTGACTGACACCTACTCTGTGCCAGGGGTGCAGACAGAACAAGGACAGAATGGCAGCTTTGAGGGAAAGGCAGGAGGCCGCCTTGAGCAGACAATAACAATAATAATCTTTTTTTTTTTTGTCACTAGTTTTGCTCAAGGCGAGCACTCTACCACTTGAGCTTCAGCACCACTTCTGGTTTTCTAGTGGTTTATTGGAGATAAGAGTTTCACAGACTTTCCTGCCCGGGCTGGTTTTGAGCCGTGATCCTAAGATCTCAGCCTCCTGAGTAGCTAGGATTACTGGCGTGAGCCACGGCGCCCAGCTTAATAATCATTTATAAAAGCCAGGAGAACAATAAAAACATGGTGGTTTGTGAGAACATTAGGAATCCGCCTCTCATGGTCCTTACCGCTAACTCTCACGGGCACCCAGCCTAGCCCAGCCCCGGGCACCAACCTTCGGCGAGTGAGAAGGGGTAAGGAGGAAGCAGCCTTGTCTTCCAGCTGCTTCTGAGAACTGGAATTTCAGGGATTTTGTGCTGGTCCTGGGGCTTGAACTAAGGGCCTGGACACTGTTCTTGAGCTTTTTGGCTTAAAGCTAGTGATATACCCTCGAGTCACAGCTCCACTTCTAGATTTAGGGAGCGCTTAGTTGGAGATAAGCGTCTCCTGGACTTCCCTGCCCGGGCTGTCTCTGAAGCATGATCTTCAGATCTCAGCCTTCCGAGGAGCTAGAATTATAGGCATGAGCCACCAACGCTTGGCATGATTGCAGTTTTTTAAAATTGGTTTTAATGTGTAGTCTACAGAAATAGATTCACCCTGGGTAAAAAATAAGGGTAGCCATATAAAGGAGAGTCATAATAGCGCTTGTTTTATTGAGTACTTTTTTCTACAAATTTTGTTGAGATGATGCCTCATGGCGTAGCCTCAAACTTGAGATCCTCTTGCTCTCAGCCTCCCACGGGCTGGGATTACAGGTGTGTGCCACCATACCCAGCTTTTTTTTGGGGGGGGTGGGTCCGGTCATGGGGCCTGAACTCTGGGCCTGGGCGCTGTCCCTCAGCTCTTCAGCTCAAGGCTAGCACTCTACCACTTGAGTCACAGCGCCACTTCCGGCTTTTTTTCTTTTTGCTTATGTGGTGCTGAGGAATCGAACCCAGGGCCTCAGGCATGCAAGACAAGCGCTCTACCACTGAGCCACCTTCCCACCCCCACACCCAGCTTTTTGAGCACTCTCTATATTCTCTGAGGCACAGAGAATTCAAGTGACTTGCCCTGGATCTCATTACCAGGAAGTGGCAGGGGCAGAATCTGAACCTACTTTCTAGGTCTGGCCTAGCTTAGGCAATACATAATACAGGGCTCCCTTGTCTGCAGGAGGGAGCTGAGGCGCTGTGCTGGCGCGGGATGGAGCCCACACCAGTGACGCTCTATGATGGGCCTTTGTAGAATTCCTTCCCTTCTTCCCTGGGTGTTCCCACAGAAATCAGCGGCCCCCCAATCCCATCCCTTGTTTGGGAACCCCAGTATCTCCACCCTGTGGTGTGTTCATAAGTGGGTGAAAGCAAAGTCCCATCCAGCTAGCCCCTCTGAGCCTAGTCCCATCAGCCCCTCTGAGCCTCAGTTTCTTTTCTTTTCCCAGAAGGGGAATTTCAACAGCATGTGACCTCTGTCACCGTCCCCCAGCTTGGTCATGGGGTCACCTATCAGCAGCACTGTGACTCTTGAGGTTTCTCTGATCTCTCCCCATCCCGCTGCCCTGCTCCCCCCTCCCCCCCCGGCCTCTCACCTCCATGCAGTCCCCCAGCACAAACTCATAGATGATGAAGGCGATGAGGTTGCCGCTGGTCATCTGGCCAGAGATGACCAGGTGGCCCCCGTAGTAGAGGATGCTGACCTGGACCACCAGCAGTGTGAGCTGGAGTGTGGGAGAAAGGGGTCTGGGTCACCAGGGGCTCTGCCTCAGATCCCGACCTCCCCGCATCCCCACACCCCAGAGGCTCAGCACACCCCCACAAACTGCAAGTCTAGCCACTGGCAGGATGCCTTGGAGCCATTCCCTCCGAGGCCCCCAGCTGGAGCAGGCTGTGCGCCTGGCCTGAGAACAAGGCTTTCTTTGTAGGCCAGGCTCACACATGATGCCCCTGAGTTCCTTGGGCCCATCCTCCCCACTGAAAAGACTGTGGCTCAGAGAAGTTCGGGTGCATAGGCTCACATCACACAGCCAGCTGCGCAGCGCAGCACAAGGCTTGTTTCCTCCCCATGAAGGAAGGGTGTGTCTGGGGTGCCTTGAGCTCTGTTGTTTGGCAGGGCCGTCTGGGAGGTGAGTAGATTCTGTGTACCGGTGACAACACACAGCCTGCCCAGGATCCCTCTCTATGCCTCCACATCTTAAGTTCAGAGCTGGAATCTAAATGCCAGTGGAGGCTGCAGTGACCCGTGTGAAGGGACTGCTAGGAGGCTTCACCCTTTCTCTCCTCACTGGCGCTTTTGGGTGATGGCCTCGCAGGGAATCCCAGCTAATCCTTGACCCTCATCTCCTTCGCTAAAACTCAGCCTTCCTCCCCCAGCTCGTGCCCAACCAGCCACGTCCCATGAGGCCATGGGGCAGTGGTGGGATCTGGTGCTCCCCATTCTCCGGGACATGGGGCATGCTAGGAAGTGGCCCAGGTGGGGTCGTGGCTGGCCCACAGGTAGGGTCTGCTAACGTGTCTCCAGTTGGGAGAAGAAAGCTCCTACCCCCTCCCCTGGCACCCCACCCAGGCACAGGACAGTAGAGATGCCCAGAGGGAGCGTGCGAGAGCTGTGCCCTTTCCTGAAGGGAATCTCTGCCGACTTGCTGCCAACATGCAGGTCCTGGGCCAACATCCGAGGTGGGTGGATCTCCTCACATGCACACCCACCCCCCTGTGGCCAGGAGGCCCTGGCCAGGTACACATACCCCACTGCCCCAGACATAGGACATGTAGGCGGCCGCCTCCTTCCTGTTCAGCTTGTAAACCTGCTGCAGCTTCCGCAGGTACACCTCCGCCTCCTCCTCCTCATTGGCGAAGCTCCGGACCGTCTTCATGGCGCTGATGGTTTCCTCGGCCGTGTTGCTGGCTCTGGCGAGGGCACTCTGGACCTCTTTGGAGAGTCTCTATGGGCCAGAAAGGAGGCCTCACAACAGAGAGCTCCACTGTCCTCCTGCTCTGGTCGTCTCTTGCTTTTCCACCCTCCAGCATTGTCAGCTCAGGTCAAAAGGACAAGCCCACCTCCACTGGCCCCAGCTCCTCCCTCTACACCTGACAGACTCAGGGCACACTCCAGGGCGCTTGCACCACTATAGGGTGGGGACGGTCAAGTCATCTTCAGTATCCAAAAGAGGCTGCTCGCAATGAAGCGGTTGTGGATAAAAGAGCTTCAATACCTGGGCTGGGAGTGTGGCTCCGTGGCAGACTGCTGGCCTAGCATGCACGAAGCCCTGGGTTCCATTCCTCAGTACCATATACACAGAAAAAGCCAGAAGTAGTGCTGTGGCTCAAGTGGTAGAGTGCTAACAAAAGAAGCTCAAGGACAGTGCCCAGGCTCTGAGTTCAAGCCCCAGGACTGGC